GACACTTAATTAAGACTAAGGCTAGTTGTGTCCAACTCACCGACACTTAATTAAGACTAAGGCTAGTTGTGTTCAACTCACCGACACTTAATTAAGACTAAGGCTAGTTGTGTCCAACTCACCGACACTTAATTAAGACTAAGGCTAGTTGTGTCCAACTCACCGACACTCAGCCTCAGGCAGCTCAGGGCACGTGGCAACCATGCAGGGGTCAACGAAACAGTTGACCACGTCAGTACACGGCTTGCCGTCTGGTCGGGGGGGAGGGAGGGAGGGAGGGAGGAGGAGGGAAGCACACATAGGGTCATTGTGTGTTTAGCTGTTGTGACGGATCGTGTGTGTGTGTGTGTGTGTGTGTGTGTGTGTGGTGGATGGATGTTTGATAGGAAAAAAAGGAACAAACCACACAAAAGCACCCACCAATCCCCCACAGATACACAGAGTCAAAGACAAAGCAAACAAAACACAATGGTGGCTAATCAGAACAAGTACAACAACAGAGGGAAAGTTCAGCAGTAGAACCTACCAGTGGTGCCCTCCCAACCACCCGCAACCTAAACTGTGTCAATGGAGGGCATCAAAAACACTTACATTGTGAAAAAGAAAAAAAACCCAAAACATTGTTGTGAAGACTGCCCTCCACTGGACACCCGAATGACATCGCAAAAGGGGCAGACCCAAAGTGACCTGGAGACGCACAGTAGAGTCTGAAATGAAGTCATGGAATCATTCGTGGGGAACGCTGACCAAGATGGCACAAAACAGACAGAGTTGGAGATCCTTTGTTGCTGCCCTAAACGCCAGATGGCGTAATGGGTAGTAAGTAAACCCCAAAACAAGAGAACGACGTTGTTACACGTGCACAAACTCACTTTTGACACGCCCGCCCCTCCACGTGTGTCGTAAAGCATGATGCTGCGGTCATCTGCACACGCCGCCACCAGATGAGTCTGAAACAGACATTGAAAAGTCCAAAAATAATCATATGAATTAAAATTTCCAATTCAATCAACTCCATCTTTTTTTTCTGTCAAGTTGACCTGTAGTTGTTAACATTTGAAATCATGCAATTTTACCTCTTTACACTAATAATAACAGTTAGCATTTGTATAGCACAAATTTCCGCTCAACAGCAGGCTCGATACACTTTACAATCTAACCAGAAGAACAAACAGACATAGAGAGTTTTTGGTCTTACTTTACTGGCAGACTAACAGCACAAGTAAAATGTGGTAAACTTTTCACCCTCAGAAAAAACTTTCTCCCCTATGGCAAGCAGTCACAACATTTTCAATTTGTTGAGCTGTAAAACTTCCACCCCTGTGGTCAAACCCACACCATTTCTTCCCTCTGAGGTGTGTGTGTGTGTGTGTGACAGTGTGTATGTATTTGTATGCGAGTATGTTTGTGTGTGTGTATATATGTATGTATGTATGTATGTGTGTGTGTGTGTGTGTGTGTGTGTGTATGAGTATGTGTGTGTGTGTGTGTGTGTGTGTATGAGTATGTGTG